AGTAGAAGGTTCCCCGATGCTAAACAGTTAAACTAGTTAAATCATGAATTGTTTGCAATACGTGTTTATTAACGTTTATGTCGGGTACAAGAAAAAAATGATTTACTACCAGAAAATGTCCCGCAGCTGAGTTGATAAACCGAATAAATACCTTTTCATAGTAAACGTACCAGAACTTATCAGCCTACTCTGAGATAATCTGGGCACCACGTCTTCGCGTTTCCCTGAGTTAAAGAAATTGCCTATTTTTAAGTCCGTTGACAATTTTGATTGGAAGTGCTTTCCAAGGCCTAAGTTTTCCCTTTCAAAACACCCGCGCGACTGCCGATTTACGTTCATTATTTGATATCAGTTAATGTTATGAGGAACTAGGTTAAGGCAAAAACAACAACTGTCGCACAAACTAAGTTGACCGCCACGGTACTGTCTATGACGGTGGGATCTGATGAAAATCCCTAAATGTCGGGCGTATAAAGTTCGCCCTACGGTGATCGTGTCTACGTATTGGACTGTGATGCACCTGATTATGTTTCATAGGATTGTTAGTAGTATCACGCCTTCTATAAGACGGCGGTGTAATCACTGGAACGACTTTTTCGAGGAAAGCACCCCTCTCTCTCCCGCTTTTATGCATTCCGTCTGCAGTCCCGAGTGACGATTACTAGACATAGCCTTAACTCAACACACCAGTAGACATTTAATTCCGTCTCACATTGTCTGTTTATTGCGTTTACCAGACGTCTCGCTCACAAATGTCTAGTTTTTTATTTATGCCAAATTTAGATCCAATAAAGCCACATGACCCAGTTCAGAAACAAACGACAATAAAATAAGTAAACAGCCCTGAGGTTATATATGCAGGGGAGCATAAACTTGCCAATTTATAGCTTTAAAACAGACAAAGCCGAGTTTATTGGTGCGAACAAATTTCACATGAGAGATCAACGACTGAAAGCCGCCGCAGCAAAGCAAAGATAACAAACACGAGGCATACAGCACTTCGAACCTACATCAAAATCGACGAAAAACTGCAAATTCCCATGGATTAATCCACTAAAATGGCAACTTAATAACACAATATGAGAATAAAAGGGAGAATGTCAGTACGCAGATAAGGTGTGAAAACCGGAGGACTAGAGATTACTCAAGTAACTTAAGGTCAGCCACGTAATCTAGCTGCTTGCATAATTAGTCTCCATATTTGGGCAGGCTGCTTTTAAATATCGCAATGTTCGTGCTGTTTGTGCCAAGGATGATGTTTGGAAGACCATTGTGGAGAAAACGGAGCAACCGCTACCTGGGAGGTATCTTTTAATAGGATAGCGAGGGCTAGCTGATAAAAGCCAAGAGGTGAGTTACAGGAAGCACTTCAGAGGTAGGATCTGTTATCGTTGGAACAACGATGTGTATTGGCCCGTCGTTTCGGATTCCTACTCAAATACAACCCTTAGCGGTGATCGCAGGACCTGCTATTATAGAACGCATGTGGCATCAAGGCCTCTACGTACCAGGACAATCGTAGTCATTGAGCCTTCTCTATAGTTACCTGCGACCATCTCTGATGATGTCTCCAAGCGAGAATCTGAAACTTCGGGTTAATAACCTTCTTTGTTCATTGATCGCTTACTTCTCTTCTCAAGCAACGGATTTTATTTTTCTTCGATAAAATCCTTTTAGGAAGACGCTCAACTGACCTGGCTGTCAATTGTTCGTTTTAAGTTCATAATGGAAAAATGCATAAAACCGATGACTTCATTGATAAAAGCAGTCAGGTAGGCATGCATTGCATTTTCGGACAGTTTAAATTACCAAGTTAAATTGACGTCTTCTGGCTGTGTTTCAAAAGGCATCAGCATGCAATGTCTGTTCACGTGATAGTTGAAACTTCGGACGACAATGAACAAGGACTAAGGGGTGACCTGAGAGTTAACTCATTTCATAAAACGCGTAATTATCCTGGCATTTAAATACCTTTGAATACAGCAAAAATATGTCAGAAAGATGTGCTAAGGTGTTGTCAGCCGTTATGTTCGAAAATGCCTTGTGTGTTTACACCGATATTTAAACAAGTCAGAAGCAGCACTTTGTTTAAATGGCTTAGGAGAAACTAACTCTTAACAGGTGACTGTTCTTTTTTTGCGAATAAAATACTGTTTTTTGGATTATGTTTGTACATGTGCTATGTGATGACGCATCTCCCACAAGACAGTCTCTAGTTTCAACAACCGAAATGTTTTGTTGAACTAAATGTGCAAAATATGCACCCAGACTATTTTTTGGTCAGACGCAATGAAGGAAACATCGACTTATGCGCAAGTTCAGCAGCAAGGCTGCAATATTTGGGGGTGAGTTCTGAAACAACAGTGGAAGACGACGAACTCTGCTTAGCTTCGCGTCATATCATACGAGCGCCATTTTTCTCATATGTTATCTTGAAATGTTCTTGTTATGTATGCAATACATATATATAACATAACAGCACTCCAGAGGCTTCTGCACAACCTCTTGTTTTCGTGTGCATTTTTAAGAAGTCAGTAACGGAAAAGGGTTTATAGACTAAAACCTGAACAGTTACTTTGATACCAAAGTGTGTCAAAAATAACTCTTTACGCACAGTGCGTGCGCTGCATCGTAAAATATCAACCCAATTTCTAAAATGTGTTTTTGCTTCGAAAAAGACTATTTAACCAGGGCTATAACACTTACCGTCCCAATATATTATTTCATTCACTTCAGGGTGCTTAGAATTAGGGGACTTTTCTCCAACTGTCTGGAAAAGAAACGCTCTGTAGAAATAGACTACTTCAATACTACAAATGTTTCTCAAGGGTCTTCGATGTCCAAATAAAATGAAATAAATGTTATGCAAAATTAGCTTAGAAAAATCTTTCTTATGATCAGACGCTTTTGGCTTTAAAAATGGCAAATATGTGGGAAAACTGTAATTAGCTTTGGCCCTAATGCCGAACATGATCATGAATGTAGTGGGTAACCCTAACCATTAAACCGCAGGTATGCAAAGAAAACTCAAGCGCAACCGCAACATTAACCATCGGCCTTAAACTGCTAACCGAAGTCTTAAAACCCTCAACCAAATACCTAACCCCAATTCTAAATCCGGATTCTAGCCTCAGATGCAAATCCAGATTATAACCCAAGTCTGAGAACCTCAGCCGTGGGAAAAACCCACCATCTTATACTAGCTCTAACTCCAGCCGTATCGTTTGCCCTAACGTTCAGCCCATCCCGGTCAATTATGACGTTGCTAAGACCAGCGAAGATCCAAAACCTCGGAGCATATAACATCGTCGCCATCCCTTTTCCAGGCAAACCGTTATGAACCGCAGAATAGCATAACCGGCAAAGACAAGGGAGGCTGAAGCGCCCATTTCTCATTTATTAGCCGTCGTCAGCCAGTCATGTCTGACTCCGAGGCGTGCAAGCTCTGGGGCTCGAACAAGCGACCTGTTGGCTGGAAGCTGAACGTCGTAAGTACTAAGCCAGGGGTTCGTTATCTTGTTGGTTACGATCGGGTATATCAACAAAGAGAGAGAGGGTGCTTGCTAACCGCGCTGCTGAAGTCACTCATCCCTTTGTGACTTAAGGTCACACTACAACTGCCTTGATATGATAAGAGGGTGATTGTTTGAAAAATCGCCAAGGGGGTTACATACCCTACTCGTACCTTAAAAACCTTTATTATTTCCTGTTTAATTTTGAACCCGACCTGCTGATATAATGCATACAAGGTTAATAAACTAAACGCTCCGTATTCGTCGCTCATGAGAAATTAGGCATTTCTGGATCTTTTTAGGAAAATATCTTATAATGTTGAGAAATTTGGCCATGCATGCAGCCCATTTTGTATACGTTAATGTCGGCGGAATATAAATTTTTCCGTCTTAAAAAGATCTCATAGACGGAAACTCTTTTATAACCAAAGACACAATTATCTTAAGTCTGCAGTTTGCAAAATATATGATGTTTTGCCAAATAAGAACATAAATATTTTATGTGGTTTTCCAAACTATGCGTTTAAATTTATTTTGGTATCGGAAATGAATGTGCTAAATTTGTGATACTTAACCAGTCGACTTTCAATGTGCATTTTGCAATCGGTAAAAAAACGCTTCTCAGAAGCCCGCACCCCGACATGATTGGAAAACATTGGAACTATGCTGTACAACAATGAGCACTGAAACCACACTTGGTAATATTTACGGATTGAAGACACATGTTATGATTCCGACAAACATTTTGTATGATAAAAAAATCAATGCAAGTAACCAGAAAAACTATTTTTATCAGGCCAGACGTTAGCTACAAATGCCTCAGAAGTTACAAACAGTGGTTTTGATTAGCGCCTGTTGTCTATCTGCTGTTAGTTCTGACAACTATGACAGCGGAAATCCATAACATTGTCAACATCAATCTGCACTTCGGTTGGTATTTGAGGTTTTACTGCCGAGGTTCTGCTTCGGAAAATTGACAGTTTTGCGGAGTATTAGTAAACCTTGAAATATATTCGTTAGGAACTACAAGCATGAGCTCGGTGAGCATTTGGCGGAAAAGATTGGTTTAGTCAGCCTGTTGTTGAGAAGTAAGATTAGTAAGATATTATACAACCAAGTTAGTTTAAAAGTGGTGTAACTCCCTGTAAACAAAACCCATCTTCAAACTTCCCACTGCTTGGCATCAAGAAAGATCGGCTTACTACTCTTGGTGATAGGGCACAACATGATGTAAATTCCGCCATAGTGCATAATGCCCAACCAAAGCGTGGGTGTGGTTAGCTTTTAATCGATGCAAGCAAGAACTATTCGATTATAATTTAGCCTCCTTAGTCAAAAATATACTTGTTGTGCTTTCAACGCATGTTGCCTAGTATCCTAGGCAACACTCCACTCTCGGTCTGGAACATCCTCACTGATAGCATGAAACAAACTTGGATCATGGCACTTGGGAATGCCGACGCTTCAATAAACGATTGATAGAGATCTTCAGAACGTGAAGTACGTCCTGAGACAGAGCTTCAGGAGCTGAAGGATTTGGGCGTGTCCAAGACGGTTCTCCGTTTCATCGTATTTGCTTTGTAGTAGCAGTTCAATTGTCTCGATCGCCAGGTCCTGGGGAATAGAAGTAAAAAGGGATGTAACATCAAAAGATACCATGACTTCATTTGGATGGATGCTTACCCCTTTGAGTTTCTCCAGGAATTGTGCTGACGAAGAGACCGTGGTGTCTGACTCAGCGGTCAGGAACTTGAGACGCCGGAACAGCCACTTCGCCAGTCCGTACGTTGGAGTCCCTTTGAGCGACACGATGGGTCGGAGAGGAGCGCCGTCTTTGTGCACCTTAGGGAGGCCATAGAATCGGGCCAAAGCCGTATCTTGGGGTCTCGCCATGCGTCTGTCGGTCGGTGTTATTGCACCTGAGTTCTCCAAGGCCAACAACGTAGCATTAATTTCTCGTGTCAGCGCCTTTAAAGGGTTCGTTGCACATGGGACATAGAACTGTCGGTCCTCCAGTAAACCTTTGGCTTTTTGAAGCTAGTCTGTCCTGTCCAGTACAACTGTGGCGCGTCCTTTGTCCGCTGGCACGATGACCAGGTCTTTGTCGGCCTTGAGTTCTCTAAGCGCATTACGTTCGACCTTGGAAAGCACTTCCCGCGGCCTGTGGGCCATCAGGAGAGACGACACTTGGTGTCGAATGAGGTTCTTAGTCTCCTCCGTTGCCTCCGTCTGACAAAGGATTGATTCCACTGCTGCAATCATGTTAACAGGTTTGGCGTCAGCCGTGTTAAATGAAGCTTCGTGCCGTAAAACCTGCATCTGATCCTTCGTCAGCTCCTTTGATGACAGGTTGTGCACCTGTTTGTCGTTTCTGGGCGACGTTGGATTGGGCAGCTTTCGAAATTTGTTCTCCCGTGCTGCGTCGCGTATCGTGCTCTGATCGCGGGCTTGTTCAGCTATCCTCCGCCGGAGCAGATTCGTACCGATTTCACCCATGAACTCACAGCATCTGGTCTTTTCTTGGTCAATCCTTTGTCGGTACTTACGAAGTCTCGCATGGCAATCTTGGAGGAGAACTCGGATCATCCTTCTGCCGTGCTGAAATACCGCTCGTCTCGCCAAATCCGTGTTAACCGGTGGCTTGTATGAAACATATTTCGGTAACACATTATTGTCGAGACACCTGTGCAGAAACCGGATCTGCGAATACGTAGAGGCCTCCCGAAGGGCGAAGGTTTCCCATCGCCGGGC